TGCCTTTATGCTTTTTAAGGAGCCCTGGCGGTGTAGTGAGTTAAGCATTGGGCTGCTAACGGCAAGGTCAACAGTTTCAAACCACCAGCAGGAGGAAGATGAGGCTTGCTGGTCCTGTCAAGATTCACAGTCTTGGAAACCCAGAAAAGGGCACTTCTGTCCTGTGGTCAGACTTGAGTTGGTGGCATTGTTTGTTTTTTTCCGGATGGGTCATTTGGAGAACTCGGTCACAGCTGTTTTCAAGTGGACGCAGCTGTGAACATCACCCTAGAGGGGCTTCGGGAGGTGCAGGAAATGCTGTGGGTGCCACTGTGGGCTGAAAAGCCATCTCCAGGGTGTCAGGGGCCCAGTGGGAGTCGAGCTGCTGACTCTGTACTGGTCATCACTGTGTGGGTGACATGGACCAGGGAGATGTTGGTCACTGTGACGGCAAAGTTGAAGGAGGGAGAGCCTGGCCCGGCATCCTGGAAGGTTCAGTTCAGACAGGATGAAACCATGGTCTAAGACAAATCAAAGTTGTACCAAGATAGGAGTGAAACTTTGCTGTTCGGTCACACACACACACACACACACACACACACACACACACACACACACGAACTTGACAGAGAAACTCTGGCTTGATGGCAGCATGGAGGAAAACCTGACACCTAGTGAGTTAGAGGCAGCCCTGTTGCCATGAAAGAGAATGACAATTTGAGGCCAGGCTTACAAATGCTGGAGGCGGGGTGGGGTGGGTGGTGGTGGATGGGGGCGGAGAGGCGTCTGAAATAAAGGAAGTTTAAGTCCTATGCCCATAATGAGGCAACATCTGGTTCCACTGGGTGCCGTTTGGGAGGACATTTCTAACGTGGAGTTTGGCAGATGGCAATGATGTTCTGAGAAAAAGGATGTGCATGTGGAAGGCCTGGGATGTCATGTGATCACAGAGACCTGCTGGAAGTTGGGGATTGAGAGACCATGAGACCAGTCAGGTACATCTGGAGAGGAGTTAGGCTTAGCCCACGCTGCTTGCGCGGGGACAACCTGAACTGATAGGAGTTAAAGGGGAACGAGCCGTCGCTCGGTGGAAGGCTTCGCCACCGGTATCCCCTCACCCAACAAAGCACATGCTGGCTGGTAGATCACAGGCGATGGCCAGGGAGATCCAGAGCCCTGCAGATGCTCAGGCCCCGGCTGGACTGGCCACCTCTGCCAAGATGGGACTAAGGGGGGTGCAAACGGACAAAAAGGCCAAGCATGGGCAACACTAGGTTCTGGTGGATCTGCCTGTGGTTACAGCCGTGCAACCTCGGGCAGGTCAGTTGCCACATCAAGCCTTCCATTTCCGGGCGATCATCCGCTTTCCACATTCGGTAGCCACGCCCACCTGCCCTGCAAACAAATATACAGATGTCATTGAGTCAAGGGGTCTTAAGGCTGGAAGGGAAACAAGCAGCTATCTAGCTCAGAAGCAACAAAGCCCACATGGAAGAAGCACACCAGCCTGTGGGATCACAAGGTGTCGAAGGGATGAGCTATCAAGGCGTCAAAGAACAAAAAGATTCTATCTTTGTGAATGAGGGGGAATGTGGACTGGTGACCCAAAGCCCATCTGTAGGCAACGGGAAACCCCCTTACAGAAGGGTCACAGGGAGAAGACAAGCCAGTCAGGGTGCAGGGTATCAATGATGAAACATACAACTTTCCTCTAGTTCCTAAATGCTTCCTCCACCCCCCCACCCCCCCACCACTATCATGATCCCAATTCTACCTTACAAATCCGGCTAGACCAGAGAATGGACACTGGTACAGATAGGAACTGGAAACACAGGGAATCCAGGGCAGATGATCCCTTCAGGACCAGTGGTGAGAGTGGTGATACCGAGAGAGTGGAGAGAGTGTGGGGTGGAAAGGGGGCCCCCAATTACAAGGATCTACATATAACATCCTCCCTAGGGGATGGACAACAGAAAAGTAGTGAAGGGAGACGCCAGACAGTGTAAGATATGACAAAATAATAACAACTTATAAATTATCACGGGGTCACGAGGGAGGGGGTGAGCGGGGAGGGATGGGGAAAAAATGAGCTGATACCAAGGGCTCAAGTAGAAAGCAAATGTTTTGAGAATGACGATGGCAACAAATGTACAAATGTGCCTGACACAATGCATGGATTGTGATAAGAGCTGTGCGAGCCCTCAATAAAATGATTAAAAACACACAACCAAAAAAACAACTCATGACAACCCACGGGAATTGCGCTCCACGGGGTTCTCAATGGCTGATTCTCAGATCCTTCTGAGGCACTTGAATGAAAATGCCAACCCTTCGTCAGCAGCCGAGCCCGCTAATGAGCTGCCTTGCTCCAGAACATGAACTCTTCGGCAACCTCCTCCCAGCCTCGTGATCTGGAAGCGTGGTGTGTTCCGACGGGCTGGCTTGCTCATGGCGGAGCCCCAGCCTCCTGGAAGGCTTCTGCTGGGCTCCTGGGAGTCATTGAGAAGGTACTGGACCAACCGGGTTTCCTCCTGCTTAATTGTAATGATCCTATCGAATCAAGGCTCTCATTTTCCAGATGAAGGACCTGAGATTTGCGGCCTCTTAGTGGCAGCGAGCCATTAGACCAAGCTCCTTGTCTAATCTTTGTGCCTTCTACTGTCATAGCGTTGCTTGTGCCAGTGTGCTTAGAGGTCCCGGGCTGCCCTCGGGGGCGTCGCTTCCCCTCAGAAAGGCACCAGGAAGGGAGTAGGTCTGGTCTGAGACATTGCAGCCCGAGGCTGACTCTCGGATTCATTTCTTGTCTGTTACGTGACCTCATGAAAGACATACTGCCAATCTGGGGCGAGAAGTGAAAAGCAGGGGCTGTCCAGTCTCTGGCTCCTGCTTCTTCCTTAAGGACTAGAACTTGTGTTTTGGAGATGCCCAACAACAACGAAGACAGTCCCTGGTCTTTTAGTTACTGCTCTGGTGCTGCGACATCTGCGCCACAACTAAATGTTGGCCGATGGACCAGAACCGGCCAAAACACTGGCTTTGCACTGTGCAGTGTCCTTCCGGAAGGGGGTGCATCCCTTTTCATCCTGCAGGACACATTCGAACTACGTGTGGAGGGTGGGGGCACCCCAACCTAGACAGGGCTGCAAACGCTCATGATTGGATGAAGCCACTTGGCAAGCCCTGGACTCTACTGGTCTTTCACTGAAGAAAGCTGCTTCTCTTGTTTAAGCCACAATTACCATTTTTCATCGACTCTGTCATGGAATGCAAAACATAATAGCATTTTGTGCAATACTAAGAAAAACACTGCCAATTAAACGGACACCCATCCAATTGTATGATACGTCTCGCTTTGAGAGGCTAAAAATGTGACAAAAATGAGTCTCATGACACGAACTGCGGTATTTCAGATCTCGTTACTCACAGTCAACCCTAATCCTGATTCAAGAAACACGAAGGAGCTAACGGATGACAAGTTCTAAATAAAGAACACAATCATCACGTAGTGGGAAGAATCAGTTTCTATATAAAAGAATGACTCATGAAGAGAGTAGTGACACATGACTCAGCTTAGGGAGTTTTTCTCCCCAGTAACTTCTCAGTCTGTCTCCGATTGATGGGAGAATTCCTCCTGGCTATTTAGCTTTGGCCACAGTGAGCTGGTTTGAAGGTGTCAAAGGCACAGTGCTGACTGCTAAACCAATCTCCACTGTATGTACTTTGGCCTTAGGGGCACCGACTCCTTAGTTTCTTCCCCTCCCCCATGACCCCAGGGTCCTCCTGGTTGACTTGGAGAGCAAGGGGGCAGCTGCCTCCGCAGCAGCTGGTGAAGACCACCTTGCAGCTGTAGGTCTTCCTCTGCACCAGCTGCTGTTGCTTTCTGGTGCAAGCCAAGGCCTGATCCGGTCTGAGGAGTGCATGCCAGGTCCTCAAGAGAATCCAATGTGAATGTACTTTAAACGTCAGAAGCCAGTGAGAAACAACGGGGAACTTGGCTGATCTGAAAGTGGTTCTAAGATGAAACATCTATTCTGTGGGATGAAAGCAGGGTCCAGTTCATGCGGAAGACCCACTTGGTTGTTTTTAAGTAATATAATAATTTGCCATTTCAGAGACTCTTTCTCCTAGCACTGCCACTTGGGTCTACCTGGAATCCAGGTTTGTGCTGACTCTACCTGGGTGTGCCGAGTCCGTGCTTTGGCTACCGTTTATTGACAGTCTACTCATGTGACAAGTGTTTTACATCCATTATTTAACACAGTGACCCTGCGAGGTAGGAGTGCTCTTCCTATTCTTATTACAGAGCATGTCGGCGAGGCTCAGAGAAGCGCTGGCCCTTTCTCTGAAAGCAGATCTAGAAAGTGGGCTCTGAAGCACGCTGAGTTACCCTGCAGTCTGCTTGTGCTGTGCTCTGGTCCTCCTTTACGTTTGTTCCCATGACTGAGCCATGTCATCTCTGCTCAGGGGCCGTGTGGATGCTGAAGGCTCATGAGTGACCTGAGGGCAAGTCTTCTCCACGAAAGGCAGCCCCGCCCGGCAGCCAGCCTGAAGGCCACGAGGGAGGGGCCGTGGAGCCCAGTGGCACAAAGGCACTGCTGCTGGGCGCCAGGGCCATTCCTCACAGAGTCTGCCATCGGACTCCTTGCTGAAGCAGTAGCTCGGCACAGCATTTTCAAATGGCCTTTTACCGATGTTTTGCTTGCCATAATTCACCTATGTGTTTTCTTGGAAAAAGACTTCACTGTAAATCTTTAATGAATTACCACCTTGCCAATATTCTGGTGAAGGTACTGTTGTGATGGATTGCTGGAGTCTCTTTTAGGTGTGATCTTGCGTGTTACATCTAAACCCTGCTTGATTCGGTTCTTATGGGCCAGGTTCTCATTCTCTCTGGGCTCGACAAAGTGGATAGCCTACCAAACGATTTCTTCAAGGCTGAAAGACATTAGAACTTGGTAGAACTTTTCATCCAACTTGGCTCATTTTTTTGCCTCAAGTAACCAAAGACAAAGACGCCAGGCTACATTTCTTTTAAATTATTTTATTTTTGTATAAGCTAAAAGGAAATTTACACACTGAAATCTCAAAAGACCTTGGCATGCACATTAACCCGGTTAGAGGTTCTTCTACATGTCTCTCTTTTTTCCATAGGAATTTCCCCAAACATTTAAAACCCAGAGTTTTTACTGTATATACAGCCTAAACCATAGCAATCTATGATTATGTCATTTTACATTGTGCAAAATCCTCAAAAGATAGTAGTACAATAGAACAACAACAACAAAAGGAAAAAATCAGCTAACAAATGAATTTTCATGGTAAGACATTCATATAATTTGGTCCTTCTCCAAATCAAACTAATTAAAAAACAAACAAACAAACAAATTGAAAACAGACACAATCTCTTTAAGCCCCTCCAATCGAGTTCTGACAATGATCCATACACTACCACCAAGGAGCGATGGACAGAAGGGCCCCGTCAGAGATCCAGCAGCAATATGCCATATCGAAACGATTAAAAAAGCGCCCCCCGCCCACTCCTAATGGTAACAAAAAGCAGACCTGAAACAAACCCAGAACACACAAAATTTAAAAAGCAAACAATTTGAACAGGGACTTTGGAACTTACTGATGAAAACAAAATGCTCAAGAGAAGCGATGAGAAATTAATAGGGCCCACAATGCAATCTGAAAAGATGAAGGGGATTTCACAGACAGTGGAGATTGGAGTTTTTGATTTTCTTTTTTTAAAATTTTTTATTTCAAACGTTTTGTAAGAAGGACGTCACCAGTGCATTTCACAAAGACGGAAATGTGTGCACCCCGGCAACACAAAAAGAATAAATCTTCAAAAATGTTCACCCCTGATTATTTACACTTTTTTCTAATATAAATTTAGGACTTCAGTATGTAAATAAATATACATGACTATGTATACCTTTTTAGTGCGGCTTACCCACAAACCAGCTGACCTTGTGTTTTGTTTTATTAGAACAGGGGCAGGGTCGAAGGACAGGAGAATCCGTGGGAACTGCCTGATCCCGCAGCTGGGCTCTCAGTCTGCCTTCTCCTGGGAGCTCGGGGAAGGAGTTAAGGTGGCTGGGAACATCAACACCTTGGCATGCATGAACGTTAAGTCCGGAAGGCTGGCGATCACCTGGATGGCTTCTTCACTCAAGTGCTCTTCTCGCTTAGGTTTCCTAGTGACAAAGGAAAAGGAAATGCTCTGTCAAGGTCCAATGGGAAGAAATCTACTCTCAAGTTCAAAATGCAAACTCCCTGCTACCGGGCTGATGGTGAACGGCTTCGCGGGTGTCCAAGGCTGTAACTCTTCACAGGAGTAGAAGCCTTGCCTTTCCCGCAGGGGTGGCTGGGGGTTTCACTGCTGGCCCTCGAGTAACCCAGCACACCGCTAGTCAACCTGTCAGTAATCCTCGGGGCCAAGGGTTTCTTCTCTGCCAGCTCCTCCGCCCCTGGTATATTTGGTGCTTGTTTCCTGCTCCAGATGCCAAATTGCTGGTGCAGAGAGGCAGGGCCTATTCATGACTGTTCATGGGAGGGAGGCCGGGCATGCAAACCACATGAATCTGGGTCTCACTTGCCGTTTTCCCCTGAGGGCCGGAAGCCTTTCTCCAGGCATAAATGGAAGACACTACTAAGTAGAAACAGAATGCCAAAAAAAAAAAAGAAACAATGCCAGGCCCGAACCACACTCTACCTAACTGGGTCCTCTTCCCCTGTCCCTGAATTACCAAAATTGCCTCACCCGAAACAAAGCAAGTCTGGGGGCATTAGGTCTCATAAGCCATTTCAACCTCGGACTTTCTGGATCCCAATGGGGAATTCCAGGAGAGAAGACTCTCAAAAACATCCAAGGGGTCTTCACCAGGCTGTCGGGATACAAGGACAGGGAGGTGCGGGGATGGGGGTGCTGGGAAGGGGGCAGGACGGGAGAAAAGTAGCAGCACATGCCGCATGGGGGCTGCACACAGGCCCGAGGCACTTGGGGTGGGTGCACAGCTCCACACCCTGGGGGTTTGCAGGTGAGCCGCCTCTGACTCCAGTGCCCTGGACAGAAGTGACTGGTTTGGTAGCCAGCACAGAGGTGACCAACGGAGCTGGTGACTGGGCCTCGTGTGTCTCACACCGACAGGACTGTAACCCAGAGCTGCCTTTTCCTTCTGGAGAGTCTATCTCCTGGGAGAGTCTATCTCCTGAAGGAAGAGCTGGTGTTGTGCAGTTACCCACTGCAGACCATTGTAAACCAGGGACGCTAAGCAGTTTTCTTCACGGGATAGGATAGTTGCAGACCTACTAGACAGGACACACACACACACACACACACACACACACACCGTTTTTCTTCCACACAAATATCCCCTTAGGATGGGGAGCAGGAGGCAGTCAGAAGGAAAGCAGCATTTAGTTCATATCCAGACTATTCTGTTGTAACTTTGAGTCCAGGTCAGAATAAAAAGATTTTATAGGAGGACTGCACAGTCTAACATCGACCTTCTGAACCAATGTCTCCCAGTAGGTGGACAACTTAGTCAGACAATACCATTTGCAGATCAAGACTGAGCTCAGCTCCAGGATGTCATGGAAGCATGGAATAGGAATATTAATTCAAACTTTTCTCTCAGTAAAGTCTACACTTTCAGCTGAGCCTTCGTGGTGGCTGCACCATTCGGTGGGAGCTTGCCGGGGGCCTGGCTGTCTGTATTAGCCATAACCCAAAACATTGTGCCCGCCCTTGTCTCAAGGTGGAAGCTGACACTACACCATCGAAATGGTCAGCATCTCCCCAGTGGTCCTGCTGAGTGTCACTAGAAATGGGGCCTTCCAGGTATTACATGTTTTCTGATACGACATAATGCCCAAGGGCTGTTCTAGTCCAAAGCGTTGATCCCAAATGCACCAAGCCTGTAGACATTGTTTCCATTATTAGGAAATCAAGGGACCAGAGAGAACGAGGCAAGCGGACAAATCTAGGGGCTGGAGCTCTCTGTAAGAAGCTTCAACAAGCAAGCGTCACTAACCACAGACACAGGGGAGAGGACATCTGCTGGGCTCGAGGACGCGAGAGCCAGACAAGATGTCTAGGAGCCACAGGCCTGGCGCGAGCGTCGGTGTGGGCAGGCCAGCACACTGGGCAGAGGCGGAGCACCTTGCTGGGGAAAGGTGACTGCAGCCCAGTACTAGATGAAGATTTACTGAGATGGACAGATGGAGACCACTGACTGCAAGAGTAGATTCAATGCAGTAATAGTCCGAATGGTAAGACTGTAGTACTTTCATTTAAGAATTTTTGTTTGTATTTTCTACCTTTATGAATATATCATATTGCTTTTATAACTATAAAAGGTTACTGACAACATGAACAGATAGGAATGCAGATGAAAGGCTTTCCCCACTCGGGGAGTGCTGCCGGGCGTGGGAAATGCAGAGGGACGCGGAGGGAGGAAAGCTGCAGCTTTCCTCCAGTGAACCCTGGATGAAGACTGTTCTGGAGCTTTTGCCCCTGGCGTTATTCCAGAGGTGCTATCTGGAGGCAATGTGATGTGTCTTTCTTAAAAAGCAAGAGCTTACAGTTTATGCATTAATCTGGCATCACTGTGCCTTGATGCTGGCTAGGCTTACGACCTAGGAAAGAAAACGCTTGAGGAGAACTTAAAAAAACCTAAAGCTGTAGTATAATTTTTTCCCAAAGTGAAAAACAATGACCTGTTTCTTTTTCTTCTTTTAAAAAAATCATTTTATTGGGACCTACTTTTTTAAAACCTATGTTTAATTTATATTCTTTTTAGGTGAAATTTATCAATTTGGTCAATGGGATAGCACTAAGAGTAAAGAAACAAAATCTGTCCATTTGGGGTCAACTGATGTTCAACAGGGTGCCGAGATAATACAGTGGATTAACAACAGTCTTTCAACTGCAGGTGCCAGGGCAACTGGACAGCCACATGCCAGAGTTGGACCCCTAATCTCACACTACCTTGGGGGGGGTTGGTGGTTTCCCCCCAACCGGAATTTTTTCATAGCGATGCGTTTAAATTTTTTTTTTACAAAACAACCTTATTACACTTAATACATTTGTCAAATCTGTGATTCCATTCTTGGAAACACTTTTCAAACTCATCTGTTTGGATGACTGACAGCACCTCCCTCAATTTTTTCTTCACTTCTTCTATATCTTCAAATCACCGTCCTTTCATGTCCCTGTTCATTCTCAAACACAAAAAGAAGTCACACCGAGCAAGGTCAGATGACTCAGATGTGTGGGGCAAGAGAGGCACGTGGTTTTTGCCCAAAACTGGTGCACTGAGATGGCTGTGTGAGCAGATGCGTTGTCGTGGTGGCAAAACCAGTCCCCCATCTGCCACAAGTCAGGCCTTTTTTGTCCCACTGTTAGGCAATCTTTTCAGAACCTCTAAACAGAAAGCTTGATGAACAGTCTGATCTAGTGGGATGAACTCCAAATGTACTATCCCCTTCACATTAAAAAAACAAATGAGCACCAACTTGATCTTTGATTTTACATGACGAGCTTTTTTGAGGGCAAGGTGACGATGGCGTCTTCCACTGGCTTGATTGCTGTTTGCTTTCAGGGTCTTAACCATGTCTCATCACTAGTAATGACCTTGGGAGAAAACGTCAGGTCACTTCAGAGCTGCTCTTTCAAAGCGCGCCATGTTTCCACTCAACGCCCTTTCCTGGTCAGGCAGAACCCGAGGCACACAGTTTGCAGCGATATCTTCCGTTAAAGTTCGTTGAACTGGGGATGAACCACAGAAATGTGGGAGACAGTGGATGGTGTAAGATATAAAAACAATAATTTTTAATTTATCAAGGGTCACGAGGGGGGGGAGGGAGGAAAGGGAAAAAAGAGCTGCTTCTACCAAGGGCTCAAGTAGAAAATGTTTTGTATATGATGATGGCAACATATGTACAAATGTGCTTGATAGAATTGCTGTATGGATTGTTAAAAGAGCTGTGAGAGCCCCCATTAAAACAATTTATTAAAAAAGTCCCCATCTCTTTAGTGGTCAGTTGTCAATCTTCCAGCACAAGTGCACAAATTTTGTTGACATTTTTGTCCGTTCAGAAAGTTGATAGAAGTCCACGATGAGATCTGTCATCAATCGACATTTCACCTTTTTTGAAAGGAGAAAACCACTCATAGACTTGAGTGTTTCCTATAGTGCTGTGCTTATAAGCTGTGTTCAACATCACAACAGTTTTTGCGGCATTTTTCCCTGAGCAGAAAACAAAATTTCACAGCCACATGCTGTTCTCTTAAATCTGCCATCACAACAAACGAGGTTTGAGCAAAAACTGCTTTTATGAAAAAATTCACAGTGACCAGAGAGAACATGCCCACGCGACTCCACTGGGTGCACTAACTCAGAGTGAGTTGCTCGATGCTTGCCTTGTGGGAAAAATGAGAACTACGAATGCTTTGCCCAGTGGAGCTTTTTTTTTTGGGGGGGGGGAGGGGGGGACTATCCCCTTGTATAAAAATTAACAAGAGCTGAAACAATAAAATTCCTGAAAGAAAGCACAGTTGTAAATATTTGTAATCCTGAATAAGGCAATGGTTTCTTTGATCTTACACCCAAAATAGAAGCAACAAAGGAAAAAACAGATACATTGGATACTATCAAAACGTCAAATCTCTAGGTTCAAAGGGCACTACTGACAATGGCCTACAATGTGGCATTCACTGGGATGCCCATGACCGAAGGCTTGGGCGATGACAAGTGCTGGCTCAGTGTGGCGGCACTGGAGCCCTCGCACCCCCAGTGGACAATGGTGCAGTTGCTTCGGATCATACTTTGGCAAATTCCTCAGAGAGCTAAGTACAGTTACTTTATGACCTAGCAATTCCATTCCTGAGAGTTGAAAACATTTGTTCCCACAAAAACATGGACATGAATGTTCATAATAGCATTACTCATAATTACTTGAGTGCAAACAACCCCATTGTCCATTAATTGATGGAATACATAAACAAATTGAGGCATTATAGCTATACAGTGGGATAGGTATCAGCCGTAAAGCAGAATGGAGTATGGAGAGCTGTTATAACCTGGATGAACCCTGACTACATTATGATGAGTGAAAGATGCCAGACACAAAAGGCCGAGTGTCATGCGACGAATTTTCATGCAATGCCCAGAACAGAAACACCCCGAGTCAG